CCCAAGATCTCATTAGCCTTTTTTGTCGCCGCATCACACTGGCTGCTCATATTTAACTTACGGTCCCCCTGTACCCCAAGATCTTGTTCACACACGCCGCTACCCTGGAGTGTATCCCCCATCCAGTATGCATGATCCTCAATTATGTTACCCAGATGTAGAACTCTGCACTTATCCTTGTTAAATTGCATCTTGTTCTCCTCCCCCCACTTTTCCAGCGTATTCAGATCTCGTAGAATTCTGTCTCTGTCGCTACTCCTCCCAATTTAGTGTCATCTGCAAATGTAATGAGTCGCCCCTCCGCACCCTCATCCAGATAATTGATAAAAACATTGAAAGGTAGCGGGCCCAGAACTGGTGCTCAGCGAGAGCTTTTATTTATTTATTTATTTATTTATTTATTTATTAGATTTTTATCCCGCCCTCCCGCAAAAGCGGCTCAGGGTGGCTTACAACATTAAAACCAATAAAATGATACAATACATCTAAAACAATAACAATACAATAAAATCACAGATTTACACAACAGTACAGTTTACACATGGCGGCGAGCCATAAAGTGCTATGATAGTTGGTCTGGGCTATTAAACGCTAGGCCTTTGATTGGCCACTGCTGACTCGATTGCCTGTGCAGATGTTCACAAACACTGCTTTGGCAGCGGCTGTCACCACAGCACAAGAATGCTCTGTTAGGCTGGCTCCGCCTCCTTGCGGCAGTCATTTTGTGGCTGCGCCCACCACACTGTCAAAATTCCAACAGTGCCCGCAGGCACAGAAGGGCCGAGGACCCCTGGATTTACATAGAAACACAGAGCTTGAAGGACCTCGAGGGTCATCTAGTCCAATCGCCTGCACAATGCAGGAAATTCACAGCTCCCCCAGTGACCTCTGCTCTGTGCCCAGAGAAGACGAAGAAGAAGGGATTGGATTTCTACCCCGCCCTTCACTACCCAAAGGTGTCTCAGAGTGGCTTACAAACTCCTTCCCCTTGCCCTCCCCACAACAGACACCCTGTGAGGTAGCTGGGGCTGAGAGAGCTCTTGACAGAAAGTGCTCTTTTTTCAAGAACAGCTCTTATCAGAACTACGGCTTGCCCAAGGTCATCCAGCCAGGTGCAAGTGGAGGAGTGGGGGAATCAAATCCGGTTCTCCCAGATTAGAGTCCGCCCATTTAACCACTACACCAAAAACCTCCAGGATCCCTGGGCCAAATGTGGCCTGGAGGGAAAGTTCCTTCTTGACCCTGAGAGACGATCGGCATTATCCTGGGCATGTAAGAAAGGGCCACAAGAACTGAGCACTGATGCAACCCTCCCTGCCCTCCCTTCCCATGATCTGCCTACGTTCACAGAATTGGCATTGCTGTCCGATGACCATCTAGCCACTGCTTAAAAACCTCCAAAGGGGAGTCAACCGCCCCGTCAGGAAGTTCTTCCTAACGTTTAACCGAAAACTCTTAATTTGAACCTGTTGGTTCTGGTCTTACCTTCTGGGGCAACAGAAGACAACTCTGCTTCATCCTCTATATGACAGTCCTTCAAATACTTCATTATCACCTCTCAGTCACTTCCTCTCCAGGTTAAACATACCCAGCTCCTTCAACCTTTCCTCCTAGGACTTGGTCTCCGGACCCCTCACCACCAGTGTTCCTTCTAAGCTGAGTTAGTGTGAGCTAGCTCGAAGTTTTTTAGTCTCCGTCTCACAGATTTTTGTCTTAGCTCAGGGAGGAGGGCTCCAGAGCAAACTAATTGATGCAGTAGAAGAAGAAGAGATTGTATTTATACCCTGCCCTTCACTACCCAAGGGTGGGAAGGTAACAGCGTTCCGTGCGCCTTGACGTCTAGTCATGCTGGCCGCATGACCACGGAGAAGTCTTCGGACAGCGCTGGCTCTTTGGCTTGGAAATGGAGATGAGCACCACCCCCTAGAGTCAGATTCGACTGTCTTTCGAGCAAGGGAAACCTTTACCTTTAGTCTTCTGGCACCTCACCTGTTCTCCAAGAAATCTGAAAAATAACATTAACAGAAAAGAGCAAGAGTCCAGGAGCACCTTAAAGACTAACAGAATTTGTGGCAGGGGATGAGCTTTCGTGAGTCGCGGCTCACTTCTTCAGATACAGCTAGAACTTGGGCCCATCTGTCCTCATAACACAAAGTTGATGGATTTCCATTCTGTACGGCTAAATGCCAACCTAGCAGTTCGAAAGCAAGAAATTGCAAGTAGATAAATAGGTACCACTTCGGTGGGAAGGTAACAGCGTTCCGTGCGCCTTGGTGTTTAGTCATGCCAGCCACATGACCACGGAAACGTCTTCAGACAGTGCTGGCTCTTCGGCTTTGAAACGGAGATGAGCACCGCAACCCTAGAGTCGGATTTGACTGGCTTTCAAGCAAGGGAACCTTTACCTTTACTTTATGGCTAAATGTGGTGCCTTCTACAGAGATGGCCGTGTTAGTCTGTCTGTAGCAGCAGAAAAAAAGAGTACAGTAGCACCTTAAAGACATAACATTTGGGGCAGGGTAGAAGCTTTCTCGAGTCACTGCTCAGCTACAGCTAGAATACATTCTAGACTAGATTGTCAGTGTACACTTTCAAGAAGCTGAGATGCCTCGATCACCCAAAGACTCAAATTTCAGGAGGGCAAGAGATGGAAGAGTTACTCGAAAGAGCTTTCCCCTGGCATAGGGGTGTGGTGGTGTCACCGAGCAGGTGGTGCAAGCTAGGGTTGCCAACCTCCTGCTGGGGTCTGGACTCTGGAAGTGTCCTGGAATTACAGTGGATCTCCAGACTGTAAATTGCTTGTTTGTTTGTTTTAAATTCCGCTTGTCCTGCAGAAAACGGCTCCTTTGGAAGGTGTGGACTGCATGGCATCACACCCTTCTCAGGTCTCTCCCCTCCCTAAACCCCACTCACCCCAACCCACCTTCAAATCTCCAGGTATTCCTGAACCCTAGGGGTTGCCAACCTCCAGGTAAGGCCTGTAGTTACAACACATCTCCAGAGGATAGATTAGATATCAGTTCCTCTGGAGAACCCGGCTGCTTTGGAGGGTGGAATCTATGGCATTATACCCTGCTGAGGTTTTTCCCCAAGCTCCATCCCCCGAATCTCCAGGAATATCTAAACCTGGAGTAAGCAACCTAGGGATGCCAGCCTCCAGGTGGAACCTGGAGATCCCCAAAAATCACAGCTCATCTCCAGACTACAGAGATCAGTTCCCCTGGAGAAAATGGATGCTTTGGAGGGTGGACTCTGTGGCATTATACTCCACTGAGGTCCCTGTCTTCCCCAGGCTCCACCCCCAAAACTTCAGGGGTTTCCCAACCTGGATCTGGGAACCCTACCCCCGTTGGTGGCCAGCAGGGACCTGGCAACCTTACCTTCTACTGGACTCCTGTGCTAATGCAAAATACCCTAACAGCACTGGCCCTTGGCCATTAGGATGCTCTGGCACGCACGGCCCTTTGTAAGGTTGCCAAACTTCAGGTGGGGCCTCGATAGGGTTCCCAAGTTTCCCTGGCCACCAGCAGGAGATGGATAAGGTTATCAGATCCAGGTTGGGAAAATCCTGGAGATTTGGGGGTGAATCTTAGAGGACAGGGACCTCAGTAGAGGAGGAGGAGATTGGATTTATACCCCGCCCTTCACTACCCAAAGGAGTCTCAGAGCGGCTCACAAACTCCTTTCCCTCCCCCTCCCCACAGCAGACACCCTGTGAGGTAGGTGGGGCTGAGAGAGCTCTTGACAGAAACGGCTCTTTTTCAAGGACAGCTCTTATCAGAGCTACGGCTTGCCCAAGGTCATCCAGCAGCTGCAAGTGGAGGAGTGGGGAATCAAACCCGGTTCTCCCAGATTAGAGTCCACGCACTTAACCACTACACCAAACTGGGGTCCAAGGCCATAGAGTCCACCCCTCTACAGCATCCGTTTTCTACAGGGGAACAGAGATCAGTTCCCATGGAGGAAACGGCAGTTTGGGATTAGGGTTGCCAGGCCTGGGTTGGGAAATACCTGGAGACTTTGGGGGTGGATCCAGAAGAGGGTGGAGTCTGGGAAGGGGAGGGGCCTCTGCCTGGTACAATGCCATGGAGTCCACCCTTCAAAGCAGCCATTTTCTCCAGGGGAGGCTGATCTCTGTCAGCGGGAGATCAGTTGTAAAAGCGGGAGATCTCCAGGCCCCACCTGGAGGTTGGCAACCCTGTTTGGGATGCTGGACTGAATGGAACTACACCCCAATGAGGTCCCCCCCGTCCCCAAGCCCCGCCCTAATGAGGCTCCACCCCCAAATCTCCAGGTATTTCCCCAGCCCAGAGTTGGCAAACCCTAAGCAGTGTTCCCTCCAAGCTGAGTGAGTGTGAGCTAGCTCAGTTTTTTAGCCTCCAATTCACAGATCTTTGTCTTAGCTCAGGAAGGACGGCTCCAGAGCAAACTGATTTATGCAGTAGCCAAATCCCTCCCTCACAACTTTAATGCCAGAAGCTCCCAAAGCAGAATTTTTGTTCGCAAGGCTCCACAGCTTAGAAGAAGAGGAGATTGGATTTATACCCCGCCCTTCACTACCCGAAGGAGTCTCAGAGCAGCTTACAAACTCCTTTCCCTTCCCCTCCCCTCCCCTCCCCT